AGGCGCTGCTGGAGTGGCCAGGAGATGAAATATCTTTCTGAAGTGAATTTCTCCAAGCAGAGTGGAGGGATGCTGGCACAATTCCCTGGAGAAATGTACTGGCTGCTCTACTTTCCTTGAGTCATGCAAACTGCAGTCCAGCATCTTTTACAGCACCAAGAAATTTTAAAAAACCATCAAAATAATTGAAATGAAAATGCTGTGAGCAAATAGATCCGAGGGAAGCATAGTTTTCCCTTGTGAAATAAATGGCTTTGCTGATACAGTTGTTTTCCTACCCTTTATTTAAATTACATCTTTTCAAGCAGAAGAGTTCTTGATGAACATCCCAGGATGCTGTTTATTAATCTCTCCTGATTCTATCCATCTTTAAATTTTCTGAGACTGGAAATGGCTCTGTGGAAATGAGTTTTCATTTCTCTTCAGAGAGGATAGATGTAACTGGAGGGTAAATGACAATAAAAAAGGAGTTGTCACTCTGGAAATGGGAGATGTGACCCCCTCTCCTTGCCCCCTGGACACCAGGTGGTTCAGCTGAGCCCTGATCATGAGAAGACAAGACAAAGGATATTCCCTGTGATCCCAGAGGGACAGAGTGGCTGGTTTTGTACTACTGGATGAACAAACCTGTGGCCAGGGGCTCTTTCTGCGTGCCCAGCTCTCACAGGGTTTGTGTTGCAGGTGTGAGGATGCCCTGAGGAAGAACAAGAGCCTGATCGGGCCGGACCAGAAGGAATATCAGCGGGAGCTGGAGCGCAACTACCACCGGCTCAAGGAGGCTCTGCAGCCCCTGATCAACAGGAAGATCCCACAGCTCTACAAGGCAGTGCTGCCTGTCACGTGCCACAGGTGCATATTTGGGGTTCCTCTTGGGGCACAGGGTGTGAAACTGAGGGCTCGGAACTTCCCGGGATCCTGCGCCATCCCTTTGTTTTCCATCCTGGCTCTCCTGGCTGAGCACGTCCCTTTTCCCCTCTGTCCCTCCTGAGAGCACATTCCCTTCCCAGCAGCTGTGGTAGGTGGTGTTTGCAACGTTCTTTCTGTTCCTCAACTAGGACAGTTGTTTTTTTTTTGTTTCCATCCTGCATCCCATTCTTTTTAGATGCAAAACCACCCTCAGCATGGCAGGACTTTATTCCCAATGAAACTGGGATCAGGCGCTCCAGGGGGTGAAAATTGTTGGTGCTGGAAGACCAGGAAGCTGGAGATTGGGCTTGTGTGAGACAGGACATAAAAATCCCTGTGGGAATCACAGGATCACAGAAGGGTTTGGGTTGGAAAGATTTTAAACACCATCCAGTCCCACCCCTGCCAAGAGCACCTTGTGCCAGAGCAGGGTGCTCCGACTGGTCTGGGAAAATTCCAGGTTTGGGGTGACCAAAACCTCCATGTGCAGGTCATGGATGAGCAGGGGGATTTTGGGTACAGTCCCTTTCCAGCCAGGCTGTGGCTCCCAGAACAACCAGGAGTGGTTCCCAGCAGGAATCTGTGACCCCTGTGGAGTTCCCTGGCAGCAGGGCTGCCAGTTCTGGATGTTCTGGAGATGAACTCAGGGGAGTTTCTGCCTGGGAGTGCTGCAGGAAGGTCCCTTCCCTCTTTGCCCAGCTTTGGGATGCTGGGAGCTCTCCCCAGCTCTGTGTCCCAGCTGTTCCCTGGCAAATTTTCCTGGCTGGCATGGTGGGAGTAGCAGAGCTTCCCTCCCTGCCCAGCCAGGAAGCCTCCAAATGCTTTTGGTGTGGTAATTATTATCTGATCTTCCTATGCAGGGAGCCTAATACTGGTATGACATAAAATAGCCTGAAAATCACAGAATATCCTGAGTTGGAAGGATCCCACAAGGATCACTGAGTCCAACTCCAAGTATTCCTGGCAAATTCCACTTTAGGGATGTGTTTGAAAGATTTAAATAAGATTTCAGTTCTGCAGGTGTTTGTGCTGCTTCTGTGTGTACACAGGAATTAAACTTTCTGTCAGTGTTCTGGATGATCCCAGATACAAACCCAAACCAAATTCCTTGGAAAAGCAAAAAGTTTTAATGCCAGTGGACTTAATTTTTGTTGTAACCAGCTCTAGGAAATACTGGAAATCATCAATTCAGAGTCATTCATCTGGTGAGGCTTCTTATTTCGCCATGGAAAATCTGAGCTCATCATTGTATTTTCTCTCCCTCAGAGACTCCTTCAGCAGGATGAGCCTTCGCAAAATGGAAATCTAAACGAGTTAAAAACCAAAATAGAAAAAAAAAAAAGCACTTAAAAAATTAAGGTTTTGAAAAGAAAAAGAGCCTTGTTATCAGCGCTGGGAATCAAAGAAGTTTTATTATGAAATAAAACTTGGACTTCATCCTGGACATCCCACACACCTCTTCCTCCATCAAAGTGTTCAGTGGCCAAAAAATCATTCTGAATTGTCAAATGTAGACTTCTCAATGTTTGAAAAGAAAAAAAAAACCATCATGGCAGTGGCATCCAGAGTATTGGTGATGAGATGTAAACTTACCTGTTTTTTAAGGCATTTTTATGACTCAAAGGTACACTAAACGCATTTACCTTTATTTATAGCATTACCTAATGTTAAATTTATTTTACTTTTAGTTCCTATATTTAATTTATATTAGGACCATACGCAAATGCATTTTGGAAGTTTTTAATGTAGTGATGATGCTGATGGTTATTTTGATGGTACTATTAAATATGTGAATGTTTACACTTTAATTCCCTGTGCATTGGACTTCAGGGCTCAGCATCCTTGGGGAAAAGGTTCAGAGCAAGGTAAGTCATGGTAACATTAATTAACCAAGTGCTGATTGTTTATTATCCTTGTTCTTTTGCTGCAAACAAAAAATAATTCCACCTGTAGCCAGCAGCAGATGGAGGCACAGCTTGGTACCTCTTCACCTCAGGGGAAGTTTCAGCTTCACTTGTGTGTGTTCATGGACATCTCCAGCAGCTGGGAGGTCCCAGCATTTCCTCACCCCTGGAATTAGCAGTGTCCATGGAACTCAACTCATTTTGTGTCCATTTTTTAATTTAAAGCCTAATTTCACAGGGCAAAAGAACCTAAAATGGTGTCAACAGTTTAAAAGCGTGCAAAGCATTCTTTGCATTGCTGTTTATGTGAAGAAAGATGTGTTTTACAGCAGATATTTTGGGGTCTAACAGTGCATTTTGAGGAAACATCAGATTTGGAGCTGAGTCCACAACTCCTAAATCTTGTCCTTACTATTTTTCCTCTCTGTGGTGAACAAAGTCCCCTGGAAGAGGTGGTGTGTGATTAAACACATTTATTCTCTCTCTATAAATACCTAAATACGCATAGAAAACCAGATATACACAAAAACCTGAATTTTATAAACATTCTCTTTATATATATATGTATAAAATAGAAGGAAAAATGGGTGTATACATGAAGTGCCCCCTTCTGCAGTACCAGTGAAGGTTTAGGGTGGGGAGGGTCTTTTTTGGTCTTTTTTTCCCCCTTCCTGCTACTTATTTTAGGTTATTGGAGACTTCTGCCATGCTCTGTTATCCCAGCAGCTGCACAGTGGTGGTGTTATGTGTGCCAAGGTTCCCTGGAGCAGAACAATCCTGAACTGGTTCTGTGTCACAGGGCACAACACAGGAACACCTGCATGGAGTTCCCTGCAGAAGGAAAATTCCAAACTTTTCATGGATATTCCAAGGCTCTTGCAAAGCCCAGGGGTGCTGACAAGGCCTTGGAGGTGCTACTAGAGTCAGGGAATCTCAGAATGGAAAATTTTAAGGAAGGAGGGAAGGGCTTTGGAAGAGATTTACAGGAAGAGGCATTAAAAATATTTACACAGTGCGAAAAAAATCCCAGGAGCCATGAAAGGATAAAACTTTAATTTACAGCGGTCCTGCTCCAGGCCAGGAGTTACAAGCAACAAGTTCAGGGGGGTGGCAAGTGGTGCTTGAATGAATATCCCAAAAATCCACCCCCAGTCCCTTTCCCTGTGCCAGAGGAGGGGTTTTCATTCAGCATCTTCCAGCTGAGGCTGTTTTCAGCTGCCACAAAGAATCACCTCCCAAGCTGTGCTGGGATGATGGAAGGCAGCTGGGTCTTCCTGACATCCTATTTTGGTGTAAATAATGGTATTTTGTTTCCTTGGAACATTCCTGATGCTGCAGTTGAATGAAAAAGATAAAAGTCTTGTGCCAGGTGTGGAAAAATAAACTTTCATTTGCAGGCTGAAATTCAGCAAAGCCTAAAAAATTGCATTCTGTAATGGGATTGGGCTGCCCTTGCAAGGTAAGATTACTGGTATTTTTGTAATGCAGCTTTTTCTTGGTTTAGATTCTGGAAATATTTATTATTATGGTGCAATGCTTTGGAAAAGGGAAAGTGTATTTTTTCATTGCAGATTTTTTATGCTGCGAAATCAAGGCCTGTACAATAATCAGAGGTCAAACCTAACATGGAAAATACACTAAAAGTGATTTTTCCTGACTCACCTCCATGTTTATACAACATTATAATAAAAAGATAGTAAAAATTAAGTATTGCAGAATTAACTAGGCAGAGGTTTTTAGGTGTTTTCCTGTAAATAAATTAATTTGTAGTGAAAAAAGGTGAATTATATCCAGGGCCTACTCAAAGCCTGCAGTACCACTTAATGTCATTCCATCCATCCTGGGACAGACTGAACAATCCCCCTTTTTTGAGTCATATTTGTTAAGATTTTAATTATTAGTTTTTAGGAGTCACTTTCAGTTTCTCTGACAGACAATTTAAGATTTTCATCTCTAGTATTTAGTGCAAATGATTTTAGTTTTGCAATATTTCCCCTTAACCTCACAACTGTAGTCAAAAAGTACCTTCAAATTAGGAGGTACTGTCCAAGAACCAGCTAAAAACCACAGAATGTATTCTAAAAGCACTTGAATTCTTTTAGATCATTTCCCAGCTTTTTGTAACTGTTCCCAAAGCCCTTTCCCTTTCTGCTTTCCCCTTTCCAAACACAACAGGCTGATCTGCTTGTCTCAGATGCTGATGATAACTTTTTTATTTCTTATGTACATTCTTAACAAAGCATCAAAGCCAAACACTCTCCTCTCCCCCACGTTTCAGTCAGCTCCAGGTACAAATTAACTTCAGTTAGAAGGTCACCACTAAGTTCCCAACCACCCCAAACAGAGATGCAGATTTGAGGGCTTCACTCTTCAAAGTACAAAATTATTTTAATTACACTACACTCTGCCCCTAGTTTGTAGTATTGATCACACTTATTTACAGTTTGCTCATTAACAACTATGCATCAAGATGTAAATTAGACCAGTCAAACACTTCCACGAATTCAGTTCCCTCCAATGCTCTGGACAAGGTTCCCAGACTTTTTTTTCCTTCCTTTTTTTCCTTTCCTTGTGCTTCAAGTTGCAAGGAGCAGGAAAATATGGGAGCAGGAGAATAAACACGTCCATTACCCAAAGACTAAATGTGAACTTCCCAAGTTACAAAAATACACAACTTCTGATGAAATTTGCTAGTTAATATACATTTACTCCAGGGTATGAATACAAATAACTTTTATTTAAAAAAAAAAAGGGGGGAAAAGGGTAAAAAAAAAAAGAAAAAAAAAGCTAATAATACAACAGGCATGTCTGAGACCTAGACTGCATTAAAACCACTACTGGGTGCTGTAGGCATTGTTTAGAATCTATACAAACTGTTATTTCTAAAAGGTCAGAGCACTATTCTCCAGCAGAAAAGTTATGGTGTGAGTCAAGTCCTATGTCACGTTCTGTTAATTCGAGTTGAGCCACTTGACACCAAAGAAAGAAATAGACCAGAAGGATGAAGAATCAGTAGCTTCAAAAAACAAACAGCCGTTGCTTCCAGGTAGTTTGGATGCAAATCAGAGCCAGAGGTGTATGCAAATCCCAAATATTTACAGTACAGCATCACTCTACAATTTTCTTATAAAACAGTAGGTAAGGAGTCGATGTAGATGACGATGTTGGAGAAAGAGAATTCAGAAAGTCCTTTTCCTCTGTGACCTTCACTTCAGAATCGTCGAAGAGCAGCCACTTCCCCTCGTACTCCTTGAGGCTCTGGAGCACGTAGAGGGCTTTGTTCTCCAGTCCGTGTGCTCCCAGCGCCGCGGGCTCGCCCTGCTCCGCCCTGGGCTCGGCGCTGGGCTCGCTGCGGGGCTCGGGAGCCACGCTCAGGAGCTTCTCGGGGTTGGGCTGTTTGCTGGCACACAGCTCACAGTCAGCCTTGCTCTTCTGCCCCCCGAGCAGCCCCACGGCCTCCATGTTCTTCTTGCTGAGCACCTTGCCCGGCGGCGCGGCGCCGCTGGGCCTGAAGGAGACCTCGCCGTCGTCGTAGTCCTCGGCCACGGCGCGCGCCTCCTCCTCGGTCAGCGGCTCCGGCTTGAGCGCGGCGTAGCCCGGCTCGGGGAGGAAGTTGCCCCTGTCCAGCTCCAGGCTCTGCAGGTCGGTGACCTTCACCGAGGCCGTGTAGTGGCCGCTGCTGATGGTGATGCCGCTGTGCATGACCACGGCGAAGAGCCCATAGGTGTCGTTGGTGGGCCGCGTGCTCCACTCCTCCAGGGACAGCCGGAGGGGCGTCAGCAGCGGCGTGTTGATCTTGGACAGGCCCCCGTAGCAGTCAAACCTGGCAAGGGACACGGAGATGAAATGCCACAGCACCTCCCAGAAACCACTTCAGGTGGCCCAGAGGTGCAGCCACAGCCTTTCTCCTCAAATCATGGATGGTGGGAACTGCTCCCTGCTGCCCTGGCTCAGCACCAGCACCCCCGGTCAGAAAAGGCATTTGTATGACTGTAATGTTAAATCTTACAGCCCAGAAACTAAATTTGAACGATTTCTGAGATCCCTTTTTCTAAAGTATCAGCTGAAGATATATTTTAAATAATGATGATAAAGGTTCAGCTGATTGTTATCACTCCTGCTCCTATTTCTGCACAAACACCCCCTTCTCTCTCTCAGCATCCTGTTCAAAAACAAACCAAAAACCTATTCAACAGCCAAGGCTGAACCAAGCAGAGTTGGGTTTGTTTTTTTCTCCTCCTGAAAGAGTCATTTGCTAAATAAAGCATTACTTATTTTACTTTCAAGTAGCTTTAATATCACTCAGAGATTGTGACTAATTTTCCTCAGCTCCCCTCAGTGCACTGTAGCTGTGCCAGTGGTGCTCACCTGGGATTCTTCACTAGCTGTCCTACAGTATTCTAATATTTCAAACAATTCTGTACTTAATTTACTTTGGAAAAGCCTCTAGTATTCCATAAATATTCAGTATTTTTGTTCACAGCACACAAATTAACCAGGAGAGGAAAAAGTCCTTTCATAATAAGGATCTTCTACAGAGTTTGAAGAGAAAGTCAATGTTGGGATTTTGCTGTGCATCAGCCTCCTTGAATGATTCTGCTCTTGATGACTTACACATTGCATCAGCCCAGATCAATTAACCCCTTTATTTAACAATAGGTTGTGATGTCCTAATAAATTCTAGGCATGACTCAGTCTGTCTTACTCAACTGTGAGGGTGTTGTAGGGAAAAATACTGGGGAGTACAGACAAGCCCTGTAAAACTGAGGTTTCCAAGAGCTTACTGCTCTTATCATAGGAAAAAATAACTTAAATCCAAGGAAACTGCAGCTATGGCATATCTGCAGTTATGATTATTGTTTTCCTGGATTTAATTTTGGTTCTGCCTCACTCCTGTTCAGAGCCATGAACCCTGAGACACAGAAATAAACACAGTGACACACACAGATCCTCAGTCACTCCAGTCCAGTGAAACCTCACTTCACACCTCTCACCATACACATTTCACTCCACCAAAAAGAACACAGAAAAGCACAGAATCAGAAATAATAAAACTTAAATCTTCTGAAAATCCCTATTGTCAGCAGCCAGAAATAGAGATATTCAGAAGAGAGTCAGGAAACAGAACTGCTGCCTGATACCCTGGATTACAAATCCAGTTGCACTCAAGCACACTGGGACAATCATAGTCACAGAAAACAGGAAAAAGCAGGCTCTACCTTTCTTCTCAATGACATCCAGCATCAGAAAGATTTGGAGAGGAGGAAATAAGAGAGGAAATCTTTTCCTATTAGCTTTTTGTTCTTCTTAATGATAAGAATCTAAAGACAGAAAAATTGCATGCCAAGTACTCTGCCTGCTCTGACTGATGAACTTCAAACACAGCAAACCTGATTTCTGCAGCCACATCTTTCTAGACCATAAATTAGTGACATTTTACCAACTGCAATGAATTTCACCAGACAAAAAGCTGATTTTCTCACAGACTGTTAAAATTCTATAGTGGAAATGCTTAACTACATGTTACCAGTTAACAAATTCCTTCTAAACAGCTTCACAGCCTGCTCTCACATGGCCTGGCGTATTTCCCCACATAACAATTGCCAAAGAGAATGATTCCTCCCCAGGCAAGGAGATTTTCAAACTGGCTGCTTTATTTTAAAACAAAACACTTTGCAAAGCAGCGTGTAGAAAAGAGTAATAAAATCCCTATTAACTGCAAATATTTACGTATCCTTCATTTCTCATTCATTTACAACTCAGTCACCAGAGAACTCAGTAAAGCAAAACTGAGCAGACCAATTACCAAATTGTTGTGGGAGCTGAAAGTTGTCTGAAGATTCTTATCTTAAAAAATTTAAGTTTAAAGCCAGTAGAAGAGTTTGTTACTACTTTCAGCAATGATAGGGTTTTGCCCAAAACAAAACATTCAACCCAAAAATAAAGAAACTCTTTTAGAAGAATTTCAGCTTCATCACAGGTTTCTATGTCAGGTTTTCCACTCTGACTTCCTTAATCTCTGACTGGTAGCCCTTGGCAGAAAATTTATGGAATGACTGAAAGGACACATGAGGAAAACCACAAGAGACTGGAACCACTCTGACCTGGAAATTGGTCTGAGTGTTTTGGAGCAAGGACCTGAAGCTGGCCAGGACAGAAGAGGTGAGTGAGGCAGGAGAGGATTGGTTAACTGCAGGTCTTTTCTCATGGAAACAGGAAAATAGGAAATACAAGAGCAAATGGAAAATAATGTTCATGTTTCCCACTCAACTGTGATGATTTTTAAGTGTGCAGCTGTAAGTCAGTATATACAAATCAGTATTTAAGTAAATATTGTGGAGATCAATCAAGAGACAATTTTGTATGTTATGATTCTGGACTTGTATGGAAAGACATTGCAGAGGCAGAGGAGATTTCCTTTCTGCTTTGTCAGAAACCTGGATATTCCTGTACAGTGCTGTGGGGATGGATTTTTCTTTGTTTCATCTCAACAAAAATCCCTAAATTCTTTAGTATTAAAAAAAAAAAGATAAAGAACACTCCCACAACTTCTTTCAAAACATAAGGATTGCTACAATTACAATACCAAACTGATTACTCTGTAATTGAATATCAATTATGCTGATACTACTGTGTTTTTAAAGTAATTGTTTTTTTTTCCTTTTAATATTAGTTCTTTAAAATGTTTATCTGATTATTTTTTTCCTCAAAATATCAGTGTTCACATTCAGGTAGGGACCAAAATCTGCTTAAAGGAATTGGTTAATTCTGGGGTAACGACTGTTGGCTCTTTAGTGTGTTAAGTCCTGATCAAATTTTTTTCCCCATTCACATTCATCTTTTTGGTACTCACATTCAGGCAGAGACAACATCAGACCATAAAATGCAGATTTGTTCTCATTACTTGTTCTGGTAAAGCACTTTTAAGCTGCCTCTGAACTCAGTTTATTTACTTAAAACTTAAATATCCCCTTAAATAAAGGGATATTTAAAGCAAATAAAGTTTTAAGAAATATCAGGTTGTTCCAAGAGTACAGCTAAAAACTTTTTGTTAAGGAGTCTCCCAAAAGTCAGTTTTTCTGGAAGTAATTTCTGCCACTACCTGGAACAACACAGAGCCTTTATGGCATTGGGGGCTTCATCCCAGCAATTTAATTCCAATCTGGGAATCTTTTGGAAACACTCCAAAGCATTTTCAGCTCCTGGGGTAAGATTTCCCTTGCACAGGACCCTGTTTGGTAAGACAGGCAATGCATACTCACTCCAAGCCACTGGCAGCAAAGCACTTCAAGTGAATTGTGATCACTTCGGGCATTTTATCGAACAAAAGGCTGCGCTCAGCTTCCGTGTAGTGGTGGCAGTTCTCACAGAAATACTTGTCCTCTCCCACAATCCTCTCCACTGAGGCAAACTGGGAAATTGCCCATTTCAGAGTCTTCATTTCTGTTTTTGGCTCTGGAGAAACTAGAAAAGAAAATCACTGCATTCGTGGATATGCCAATATTTACATTTCCAAAGCATCCCGCCAGAAGTGCAACAAAACAAAATATGTCAAGTTCAGACCATTCCAAACCTGCAACACTGCAAAGAACACTCAGTATGTGAGAAATATGTGATGTATTCCAACCTTTGGAGGATTTCAGGAAGGAATGAAAACATCACTTAATGGCTATCGTTACTCAAAATTAGGATTTTTCCAAAGCTCGTTTCAGATCACACAATTTTATTGCCATGTCTGGAAATGGAGAGCTTGTATGAGACCACAATTTCACTTATTAAGGTAAACCCCCAAAATAACCAGAAAGTTCCCTCTCACTTCTTGCATTTTGCCTCCCCTGCCACCCTCACACTGCTGACAGGATCACCCGCTGTCGGCAGTACTTCACACACGAACATCACCCTGCACATTTTCCTTTGAATCCTTCAGCAAAACGGGGAAAAAAAGCAGGAAAAGCTGCTCCAAATTAAGTCAGTGGCAACTAAAATTAATTTCCTTAAAATTCTCATTTCAAGATGTGTTTTTGGCACACTTCCTTTTGAAAATAGCAAAAAACTGCATATAGATCAATAAAATTTGTTAAAGAGACCACATGACTAACATTTACAAGCATAATGAGAATGTTATTAAATAACAATCTAAAATACTGCTTTTTTTTTTAGAGTAACTAAGAAAAAAAAGCTGGATTTGTGTTTCTTTTATTTCTAAGAAAAAAATGCAATTATTTCTTACAAGAAGAAGAAAAAGCAGCAAAATTTCTTATCCAGAAGAAAAAAGAAGATTCAAATCAAAGGAAATTACCTATTCAAAAGCAGGAAAACAGGTGCCTAAGTGACAGATTGTAGGCAGTCCATGCTATGTGTTAAGATCTGGAGCAATTTGAATATTATCTGGATCTGCCAACATTATCAGCACCGTGTTTCCAAAGTCTAAAGTTAATCAGGACAGGAGATAACAGCCTCTAATTTTAGCCAGCACAAACAGGAGCCGTGTTCCTTCCTAACTGCAGCACTGTCCTTCCCCACGGCTGGCTGAGGCAGAACACACCTCACAACCCTTTTTCTTTGAGAGAATTACTTACTTTCAGAACTCTCTTCACTTTTAGAAAGTTCATCTTCTTGCACTGGGACACTGATGTCCTGAAAATCCTCCCTCCTTTCCGTGAAGCACTCGCACTCCAAGCACCTCGTCCTCAGCACTAACTGGCCCTGGAAGAGTTTCTCCACCAGCTCGAAGACAGCCAGCTCAGTACCTGGAGAGAGGACATGGCACATCCCTGAGCAAGGCCCACTTCATTCCAGAGACCCTTCAGAACCTGCTTATCCTCAGGAAATCACTGTTACAGCCATGGCCTTTTAGGGAGCTCAGACAGGAATTCAAAAGCAAAACAAATCACGGGCAGTTTTCATGGTATCACCTGCTTGTAAGTAAATAAGGGCCCTCTGTCTCTTGGGCCTCAGAACTTTAATTCCTGCTCTAAGATTGGGCCCTTGTTTTGTACTTGAAGTGTGAAGTGTCATGTTCTGGAATATTTTATTGTCATCAATGCTCTGAGTCCTTAGCATGGACTGCTGATGTCCCCAGGGAGCACCCCACTGTGGGTTTGCCTGGTTTCTCTTCATTCTCAGTCATCTCCTTCCTAAATTTACTGGCCAGTTTTGGCCAAATATGCAGAAGAAATGCACAACTCAAAAGACTCTTCATTCCTTCAATTTTTTATAAAAAAATGGTGGGTGGGAAGTTCCAAATTAGTAAGTACTGGATTCATTCTGAGGCCCTTCCCTCAACATGTATCTTGTTTCATTGACATAAACAAAATCCAGACCTGCCAGCCAATTAGCATTTCTAATTGGTATCTGTGAGATCTAAATAGATTAGATCTTTAGTACATCCTGAGTCCTTCCTGGTTCTTGGGAAGGTTGGGAATATAGAAAGATTAAGGAACTGGAAGGGAAAAAGAGGATACTGTTTGTAAAACCATAGCTAGTAGGGTTTGGTTCTGTTTGCTCCTGCCAGAAATATCCCTTTACATCTTGAATCCACTTGCTCTTTCTATGGATGACAAAAATTAGTGATAAATACAAACGTGGTAATAGCCAGCCTTTTTTCATACATATTGTACAATGATTACAGAATGTTAAGAGAAATGCCTCAAGATCTAAGCTAAACAGGTCAAGTTCTAAAAGAAAAAAATTACAAACACGTGTAAAAATAAATTCTCTTTCCTAAAAATCATCTTCAATTCCTGAAAAATCTAATTTTGTGTTTAGGGCTCTGCAGGCTGTGCAGTCTGAAGGCTGACTTCCTACGCATTGTACTTTCTTAATCCTACTAATTTTAAGCCCATCCACTTGTGCACCAACCTTCCTTTTTTGGTTCTTTTTCAGTTCCTTTTCCATGATGGCTTTCCACGGGAGACGCTGGTTCACGATATTCTTCTTTACTGTCACCATTTTCACACTTGACAGCTGACTCTTCAAACTCACAGTCATATTCTTTCCCTGGCTCTTTGGATCCCAAGTTTGTAGTTAACTTTCCTAGACTGTAAAATTTGGACAGAATACTGGGCTGTCTGCAGGAAGATTTTAACCAGTTTAACCTAAGGCGTGACTTTTTCTGCGTGGGCTTGGCGCTCTCGCTGTCCCCAGAACACTTGGCAATGGCGTCCGTTTGGTTTTCCATCTTTTCTCCCGTGGCTTTCCTCTTGGACCTGGTTTGTCTTTGATTTTCTTCTGCTGCAATTTGCTCTTTTGATACTTTGGATTTTTTCTTGGCGTTGCCGCCCTCGGCGTCGCTTTTCCTTTTCCCGTTTGCCTTGAGCAGCTTCTCCTTGGCCGCGTCTCCGCCGTGGCTGCCCGGGGTGGGATCCTCCGCCTCAGCAGGGCTGACAGACCCATTGCTCTCAGAGTTTTGGTTGGGTTTTTCCTCCAGTTTCGCTGCAGGCTCTTCCACAGGCAGTTTGTTCAGCTCTTCCTTCTTCAGCAGCTGGCAGGTTTCCTGGATGTTCCCCAGGATACACTGCAGGACCTCCTGGGCGTCGTGCTGCAGGTACCCTTCGTACATGGGGTTCAGCTCTCTGTGCAAACAAAGGAGCAAAACGTGAGGGTTTGGTATCCTTTGCTAACTGGGGACTGTGATTTGAGACTGAAATCAGGGATTTAGCAGTCATGGAGGATCTTCTCAGGCACAGAGAGGAGTCCCCTCTGTCACAGGGCTGGGAGAAGGTTCTGCCTTAAGGATTTACACACAGCCAGCAGTGGAGCTCCTCAGCTCCAAGGGAATCCTTCCCATCCCTGGCAGTGTCCCTGTCCATGGCAGGGGTGGAACTGGACAAGTTTTAAGGTCCCTTCCAACCCAAACCTCTCTGTAATTTAATAACACTTCTGTACCTAAGCACTGTTTTAAACCCCTTCTGCATTAGTCTTACAAAATTCAAATTTCTTTTCAAATTTCCAATGCCAACAAAGCACAAAAATCTTGCTGCCTATAAGGCCATCAAAAATTTCAGGTCAAATTTAAGGCCATCTACCTTGCACCAGCCTGGAAATGTCAGGACAGAATTCTGTCAGCCAGCACTGAAGGGGATTTGTACCTGAGGGTGTTCAGCAGCCTTCGGGGCTGAGTGGCCAATTCATCCGTGTATTTCTCTGGGTTTAGGAGAAAACTGGCTTGAAGCTGCTCCACTGAAAGGATCAAGGAGTGCAAACTGCAGATGAGCTCGTAACTTGCCAAAGGATCTTCTTTACAGCTTCCCTGCAATAACGATGTAAAAGGAATAAGAACACTTGCCACAGTTACATTGGTCACAAATTAACATTTTTCTCTCCTCCCCTCCCCCTTGGTTTTCTATATCTGGCTGAATTTTTTGTCTGCTATGGGAGGCAGGTGGGTTTCAGACAGTATTTTGGTTTTTTTCCAAGTAGGAGACAAACATAAAAGCCCAATTAGCCATTAGTTTAAAATCCCAAACCATCCTTGTCCAAACTCCCATTTCCATCAGCTCCAGGCAGTGTATCATAATTATCTTTGTGCCAGAAGCATGGTCAGGTATCTTCCTCAAATTTCTTGTGTTAGACTTTAAAAATTCTGCTAAAGTTCAAAGCCACTAAAATACATCTTCACCTTAAGTAACAGTGTAGAAAACAATGCTGAAAAGCTTCTTAAGAACAGAAATCAGTTAAATTTTCCCTACATTCAGGACAGCCTCGCCTGTGAGGTTACAAATATAAAGAACATGTGGGGATTTGTTACCTTTTCTGCCTTTTGCTCTCCTTCATCCTTTGAAGATTCTCTCTTCTTTGAAATAATGTTATATAAATGTTTTACTCCAGTTTTAAAACCAGGACAAAAATATAATACCTGAAAGCAATAGTTGAAAACACAAGAATAACTGGAGTAAGAAGTTATTCCAAACATAAATGCACATTTATAATCCACACAGCTCTGCACCTCCCCAGGCACACAAAGATCCAGGATTTTTCACAGCAGGGAGGAACCCCAAGTATGGAAATTGAAGAATTTCCCAATCAGGACAACCACAGGGCACACATTTACTGTGGCAGCACCTTAATTTCTCTGCTGTAATGAGATGCCCTTTACACTGCACCCAGAATAAACTGATTTCACCCATTTGTGCTTGTCCAAAACCTCCTTCTGGAGCTGCCCTGGACATGGCCTCACCTGCAGGACGCTGTTCAGGTAGCAGGTGTTGCCCAGGTTGTTCAAGCCCACAAAAGGCAACATGTTGTCTTTTTTCTCACAGCTGACAAGGGAGGGGGGCTGTGCTGCAGGAACCACCTGGTCACTGGGAAACAGAGAAACGGGGTAAGAGACACTCTGGAAAAAAAATCCCTCCTTCATCTCTCCCCACCTCAGAGAATTCAGCACTGAGACATGCAGGTCTAAACCCTGCCAAAGTGTGTCTGAATTCACACTGACTCCTCAGCAACCCCCCAAAACCACACAGGAGGAACATGTGCTCTAAGTTCCAACACATTATATAGCAGGAGATTGATTTAATGGATTGATAATCCCATATTTAAATAATTTTGTATGTTCTTTCCTCATTGATAAGGCAGAAAAAATGTGCCTAGAATGTATTTTTACACTGTCCCCTGCTCCAGTCACATAATTTCATTTCTGGGTGCAAAGGCAAAGCATAAAACCAGAAAAAAAAAAACTAGAAAAAGAATCCAATAAACCTGACACACTATACACTAGTGTATAGATTATAGACTATCATTATTATTAATCACTGCTAAAAGTGAATTATACATTGTAATGACACAACACAACCAAGTTTTAAAGTCTCCAACTATTTCTAACTGACCATAATTTTCTTTTTCCCACTTAAATCCCCTCACCAGCAATGAAATAGTTTTGCTTAGGGCCTGAAAAGCCCTAATGAATGACAGCCAACCCCACAATTAAAGATCCTTCATATTTTCATTAAAGGTCGCTTTGCAGAAATTAAATTTTAATATAAATACTTCAGTGACACAATAATTATTTATATTAACTTGAAGCAAAGCAAGTTTTTCGACGGATCCCAATCCAAAATACCAAAAGACCAAATCGCAGCAGAATAAAAGCTGCTTTTTAAAAAGAGTTACTAGAAGTTGGCCACAATCATTAAACAGGTTTTAAAAACTAACTTCGGCACGCGATCCCAAAGTTTGTGCCAACTTAACATCCCCGGTGCCGCTTTTCTGAAACATGAATTGGTTGCAGCAGTGAGGTGGTTCGGTTTGACGAAGCCGCCCCGCCGGTTACATTAACGTGAGCGCACGTTAATGTAACTGAAGCGCGCGGGTTAATTAATTGTGTTTAGCGCGCAGGTTAATTAATTGTGTTTAGATCGCAGGTTAATTAATTGTGTTTAGATGGCAGTTTAATTAATTGTGTTTAGCCGTGCTGCAGCGCGGTGTTACCCGAGGAGCCGAAAGCGAAAGGAGCGCGGATGGCGGCGCAGCCCCGGCACCCAAACTTCTCCCGCGCGGCACTCACATCTCGGCGCCTCGCAACTCCGCTCCCTTCGCCTCATTTTCCTGCGCCTCCACGAAATCCAGCACCCGCTTCGCCTCCTTCTTCTGAAACAGCTTCAGCGACAGCCGGTTCTTCTTGGAGGGGCTGGCCCTGGCGCTGTCGCCGGGCAGGACGCCGGGCATGGTTCCTGCGGGGCGCGGCCGGGGCGCTCACACCTGGCGCGCACACACACACACACGCGCACACCAGGCGCCATTTACTCCCCGAGGGGGCCGAGCGCGGACCCGCCGCCCCCCGCCCCGGGCTGGGGCCGCCCCCCCGCGCCCCCCTCATGCTCCCCGCGGCCGGCGGGGCCCGCGGCTCCCGTCCCTCACTCACCGCTACATGCCGGCCCCGCTCCCGCGCGCCGTTGCCATGGAGACCGCGCGGACACCGCCGGACAACTTGGCGCGTTTTTTTCCGCGCGCCGGCGAGGACCCCCCCCCCGCCCCTCCCCTCCCACCTCGCGCCGCAATCCCCCCCACACCCACTACCCGCTGGCGGCCGCCCGGTGAGAACGCCGGTAAACCCAGCGCGCCGCCGAAGCGGGCCGGCGGGTGGAAGCCATGCCGAACGCGGCGCTGCCCCGCCGCCGGTATGTCCGCCGGCTCCCGGTAGTCGCCGTGATGCCGCTAGTGGCCGCGCAAGGGAGACGCCGCATCAGGCAGCGCGGCGGGCAGCCCGCTGTGGGTCCTGCCTGAGCGCGCGCGGGCGCTGGTAACGGCCCGGCCAAAGGGCTCGGGTTCGGGCTGTACCATTGGCGTGGGGAGAGCCGTCTAACCCCCCCTCTGCCGGTGGGAGGTGGGTTGGTCCCGCTGTGACCACGCCCCCTGCGCGGCTTGGCCAATCAGAGGCGGCGGCGCCGTTTCCCGCCCTCCCCGCCCTGAGGGCCCGCAGTGACCGGGAGCGGCCCCCGGAGCTTCCCGCGCTTTTCCCACAAAATCCGCACATTCCAGCGGAATTTCCAGCGGAATTTTCAGCGGAATTCCCAGCGCATCCCGGCCCCAGGGCTCCGCCAGCACACCTGTACACCGAGCAGCCAATGGTACTTAGCACTGAGGCTGTTAAGGCTGCAAAGCTGGCGGGTTAGGGGTCGCCACGCTTAAAAAAAAAGACGGAATGTGGGAAAATGCTGTAGATTTCTGCGTTCTGCTCTTTAAGTTGGCCCCTCCAGCACCTCCCGTCTGTACATAAAGGATGCACGTTGCTTATTCATACAGGTTTTCCAACAGAAAGGTTCATTCATATAAGATATTTTATAGGATTAACTGCATAACTCACTTTGGGCAATACCCAGATCTGGATTTTGGGGTGAATTATCCCAAATTTGAGCACTCAAAAGCTGAAGTTGCACAGGACCAGCTGCTGCTGCCTGCCCTGAGTGTGGCACTCCTGTTAAGCACTAACGCAAACTGAACTCCACAAAAATCACTTTTTTTTTTTTTTTCAGTCCTGCAATATTTTCAGATTTTTTTGCTGCTGCATAAATGAATTATTACAGCAAGTCACTATCCCTAAATACTCGTATGAATTATGGAAGGAATTGTGTAATTCCCACAGTCACGGCTGTGCTCCTGCACAGGCTTTGATTTCTTTTGCAGGTAAAACATCCACATGTGCCTCCACATGCGGGGCTCAGATTCCCAAGGTGAATATATCGATTTATTTCCTTGGCCTGTGGGATCCTCAGAAGCTGTTGGGATGCTGCATTCCCACTGAGCATGGATGGATGGATGGATGGATTCCCCCCCAGCTCTGCCCTGTGAACTTTATCTCTGCTCAGCAAACACTGCCCAGGTCCTGCAGTTAATAGACACTCAGCATTACAGAGGCTCTTTTGTGTGAGACAGGAATCTTATCCAGGTGGGTGGTGCCCAGAGGTCCTGGAAGTGCTTGGCTGATTAATAAAGTGATTAATTAAGTCTGTGTGACGCTGCTGGTGCTGCCCTAGAGCAGAGGCTGGGCAGAGTCACAGAATAAATTCGGGATTTATTAAAGGATCTCCTCCATGGATCCACCTTGGGCAGCACCAGAGCCCAGCCAGGGCTGCACCCAAATGACCCAAAATGGCCCCAAAATGCACGAGCGCTCCCGGGGGCTCTCCCTGGGATCAGTTCTGCTCCATTGGCACCTTGGAGTTCATTGTCCCATTCCAGCTTCAGCCCAGGCAGTCCCACCCTGCTTGTTTTTCTCTCTCCAGCCCACGGTGTTTGTGCTCCTGGGCTGAGATTTGGATCATTTGTCCTTGGTGCCCAGCTGGAGCAGGAATTGTTTTGTGTCCCTGCTCTGTGCAGAGAGCTCAGCATCCCCTGATGTGAAGCCCAGACCCACACACTAAAGCAGCTCAGAATGTGAAAATATAAAATTTAAAACCTGAGGCATCACTGGTTTGAGGCACTGGCTGAAGAGTCGCTTCACCAGCAGCTGAAGGTGCTGGGCAGTCAAACCCAGGGTTGTAAGGGGAAAATCTGGGAATGTTTGGGCCTTGGGGCTGGATTCCCAGCTGGAATAAACTCCGAGGTGCAGAGGGGCTGGCTGCTCACCTCAGCCAAGCTCTGCCCTGCCCAGTGCGTGCTGTGCAATCTGCTTCAGCAAACATGAGGGAAGACTATTTCTATCCAAGGGTTTCACAGGCTGAGTCTAAATCCACATCAGGTAATTCCTCATTTTGTGTTAGCTGAACTCCAGGTGTGCTCATGCCTACAAATGCCATCAGTGACATCAGAAGCTGAGATGTGGGGGTCAGGTCAGGCTTGGGGACATTGCCAGGCTCGTGGTTTGACTTTTCAGGGGCAGTAACTGAGGGAAGGAGGGAAAGGAGATGTTTGCAGAGCAAATTTCGGGGACTGGAAGTGCACACAGCATTTCTCATGGTGATTATGGGGCTTTGGTCTGTGTGTTACTTTTCTTTTGGCTAATGAAGCAGCCAGCTCAGTTTCCATAGGTATAATCATTATTTTAATACACAAATGCATCTGAGCCCAACACCTCTCAGAATACTCAGCACTTGTTTGGAAAAGCTTCACCTGCTCTTTTCCCACAGCGTGGGGACAATTCCCAAATGCTCCCCTTGAAGGGGTCTGTGCTGAGCTGTTGTGCAGCCCAGCAGGGCTCAGGGTCAGGTCTGCTTCCTGGATTTTTAACATTAAAATGAAAACTTCCTGTTTTACTATTTCTGCTGGTAATTTCATCTGATTACATATAACCCTTACTCTGTTCTAAATAATTTCTCTCCCTTAATATACTCACAAATTGCTCCCTAATTCCCCATCATCGTTATTTTGACCAAACCATGCATGTGTCATTTTTAATTTCCACTCTACATTAGTTCTCTCTGGCTTTGAGAGACAAAGCCAATATAAGTGTGAGACATTCTGAGTGATATTTAAGCTTCCCCTCTGCCACCTGGATGGAAAACTGGGGTGAAATCTTAGCTGCAGGTCTGTCAGTTGATTGATTTTTTTTAAAATTAGGCAACACAGTCCCACTTCTGCCTCATCTTTCTTCTCTCTCACCTTTCTCTGATGAGTTCATCAGCTGTAATCCCAGTCCAGGTCGTTGTTGTATACAAAAGTTTGGGGCACAGGGAGGAATCCACCCCCTGGATGCCCAGGACAGCCTGCTTTGCTGATTCTTCACAAAATGCCCCTGAAGCCATGATTTATTTTCGGGAAGCAGGAGCTGCCCTGGTTGGGAAAAAGCTTCACCCACCAGCCTGACATGGAGCTGTGCTGCCTCAGAGACACCCACACAGCTCCATCTCAAACCTGCCATCCAGCTTCCCACCGAGGAAAAACCCTCAGCTCCTTCAAATCTCCTCTTCACCAGATTTTTATGCCCCCTCTTCAAATACGGCTCCCTGTCAGTGCTTAATGTGGGGACATTTTTCCAGCAGGAAAAGGTTCTGTTTAAATGTAAGGAAATGGGGATTATTTTTTTCTGTATCTCTCCAAACCCACAGTAACACCTAATTAAATATTTATGGCAGTTTAGCACGATCCATAAAGGAACTGTTGTCTAGAAAGCTCTGGAGCTTCACTCCATACAGTAAAGGAGTGTTTCAGGCACAGGCCAAAGAAGCAGCAGGTGCAGGAGGCAGTGATTCCTTAAAAAAGGGTCCTGAGGCACTCCAATGTGCAAAATCAAATTACGTCCAATACTATGGACTTCACAGCCATGTGTTATAAAAATAGCTGTGCTGGGAGACCAGAAATCTTCACAGGCATAGCCAAAAATAACCACATGAAATGCCTGGAAGGAGCAGATTCCCCAGAGATGGGATTTCTGGAGTCTTGGAGCCAGACTCCAGTACAGAGCACGATTCCCAGCAGGGGAAAACCTCCCCAACCTTTAGCTGTTGCTGAATCATATAAATCAATTTCCAGAGCCTGCAGCCCTATCAGTGATAGGTCTATAAATCTGTCAGGGCTCTGGTATTGTTAGAATTATTCTGTGAATTTTGGTGCAAATTGTGTGCAGACAATGTGCTCTTTCAGCAGGCTTGGATCACACGGGGACCTTGGGGTGGGAAGTTCTGCAGCCCATGCTGGGTAAAACCCATTTTATTCCTGAGGAATAGGACTGTTGGTCAAATTCCCCACACAGAAAAGGTAAGAAACCATTCAAACTAATAAGAATACTGGCTATCAAATATCAGGACTGACTTCAGGCACAAGGAACAGAAATGAATATTTAGGGATTTTATTGTTTGGTGATCCCCACAGTTCATGCAGACTCTGTGCCCTTTCACAGCCAGAAACAGGAACAAATTGTCCGACTTGCTTTACTCCACAGGAAAGGAAATCTGACTCTTCCCACAGCAAGCAGCCTGGGAATGTCACAAACCCTGAATTATCCCTGCTTGATGAGCTACATCTGCTTTCAGAGCATCTCAAATCATTTCATAACCCTTCCTTTAACTTCGGTGCCGCTGCCTCGGGGCACGTGGGAACAATTTGGCCACTGCAGAACCCCAGTCCCTGTGAGAGCAGCACCTCTGCAGGGCTGTGCCTGGCTCTGGCAACAAAACAGGATGAGTTTGGGCAATTTGATGTCAGATTGAGGGGGTGAGGCAGCAGCAGAGCCACTGTCAGGGCTGAGATCCTAGTTTGGGCCACAGAGCAACTCATTCCCACCTGGGGACTTACAGCAACTTCAGCATCTGCCAAGTAAAACCTGGCCCAAAACCTTGACCCCTGTGGCCAGCTGTTTTCTGGCATCTATAAAGATACAGATTTTAGGGGAGGCAGGAAGGAATAAATCAGAAATTGCTACAGTTCTGTAAACTCCATGGAAAGCCTGCAAGGAGCTCCTTTAATTTCAGCTGCAGAAGGCAAATGTCAGCTTGGAGGCCTGAGCCACAAACCATGAGCTTGTCTGTGCACAAACCAAAACAAGTTCTTCCATGTGGGAGAGTTTATAAGTTTGGAGGTCAAGGTATTTAGGCA